AAAGTGTTTTAAATAATTTTCAGAAAATAAGTAGCAGCCGAAAAGTTTTCCAAGCAATTGCTCAAGAACTTCAAAAGCAGAGATATGTTCAACACTACCAACAGCCTGTGAGTATCCATTCCTAAATTTGTGGGGAAAAAGAGAAACCAAAAGATTTTAGGAGTTTATTGTACCTATTTCCTTTAAAGTTGCTAGAAATGTAAAAAAAATATTCTGAGTAACAGTCAAAGACATTATAAAGCATTCTAAATGGCCAGATGCATAGAATTACATATATATATATATATTTATGCATGTGTGTACACACACACACACCTTTTTAAATATATGTATATACATTTAAAATTAAAACTGCCATAAATTTGTATTTTGCCAAGAAGAGGTCTGGTTCTGTATTGTTTGGTAAAATTCCTGGAGCTATTAAGAGGTTATGTTTGAAAAGTACTGCTTTTTCAGTTCCTCTTGCTACATTAACCCGGAGTAGAGGACAGAAACATAATGAAACTATTATAAAAGTTCTGTAATATATTTAAAGGTATTTCCCTTCCTCCAGCACACAGAGCCTAAACTAAATATTCAACATCACTGGGTAAAGCCACCCAACTTATTTCATCATTCCTAATTTATGTCATTAAGTCTTATATGACAATAATTTTACATGTGCCATGTAAATTATTTAAAAAACAAACAAACAAACCCAACAAAAGCACATTAAAAAAAAACCCAACCAAAACACAAATCCAGACCACACAATCACACATATTTGCAAGTGAAATATATCAGAAATCACATATATTTGCAAGTGAAGAAAATCACTTCAAAATCTTGCTTCTGAAATCTTACTTCTCTTGAGAAACAATGTTAATTCTTTCCTATTCTGAGCACAGAGATCATTCAGAGATGCCAAGTGGAACCAAATGACACACAGAATGAAGTCAAGCACTTCTATAAACATTTTACTTCATTTATTTCCATACAGCTCCAATAATTTTCTTCTGTAATTACCACTTTAAAGCTTTCAAGTCCCTGCTGACATGACCTGGTCCTTGGTTTGGCCATCAGATATGAAAATATGGGCTATGTTTTCCTGCGCTTTACTCCCTGGAGATTAGAAAAAGCCAACAGGATAAGAAACATGTTCTGAAGCCTGTAGATAACACATGGACAAAACCAACTGGATAAGAGGGGAGAAAGGATTTTACTGAAACACAAAAGGGATGGAGTTTGCCTCAAAAAATAAATTCTGCCTTTCTTTAAAAAAAAAAAAATCACCTCAGTAATGAAACACTTCTTTCCCTAGGATGATTTGGAAGATGACACTGTTTACCAAAACAGATGAGCATGTGCAGGACTTCAGATTTGTTCAACAGTTCTCCTGTAAGCAAAGGAGTAGGTGAGGAAGTTAAGCTTCTTCAGACTTCCTTTGCTTCAAAGAGAGAGGAGACAACATTGCAGGGCAGTGTTCTTTGGGAGTATTTTCCAAACAGATCACCAGAACCAAGTGCATTGTACCTTACATCTGTGTTACATATTCCATTTCCAAGAACTCTGGGAAAAGACTTCATCTTTGTAAGATAACTGCTGATGCTTCATAAAAGTTTCCTTTTTTAGTTTAGATTTAATTCTGTCTTTTTTTTTTCTCTTTATATAAACTTTTATGTATTCCTTTTACATGAACTGAGCAATTGTGAAAGTTGTTTGATAATTGATAGCAACATAAAATAAACTTTTTTCATGGGTGAAATTTTGGATTTGCTCATGTTAATGGGATAGTTATTGATGTAACATTTACAGACCAACAGTAAATAAACCTTGGAACAATTTAAACAGAGCAAAACCTGTGTATTAGACAGGCAAACAGAAAAAACTGACAATATAAACACATGCATTATCCTGGCAAAGCTCATTTGGGATGAGGGCATCTTCCAAACCTATTTAGGAAAGTAACTGTCATTGTGAAAACATTGCTTCTCCAATACTAAATTCACCTGCTAGGCTGACAACCCCATCTCCCAGTCCCACCATCCCAAATCAGGAATACCTGGAGCACCATGTTTTGCTTTTACAAGCCTATTCAACATGGACACAAGCACAAAAAAGAACTACACTATGCAGTACAAGGCAGTATACTTTTTCTTTTAAAGCACGTTTTTCAGCAGTTACTATCTAGCCAATCTGCAAAATCAGCACTTTTCCAAGGTATCTGCTGGTATCAGGCATTTTTCCTTCTAAAGGGAACAGCTAAGAACAGCTGCACCTTTTATCACAATTTTAATAAAGCAAGGCTTTGTTTAAAAAATGAAGTGGCATTTCTCACTTCTGCAAGATGAGAACTGACAACAGAGACAAAGCAAGGATCCATCCTACACACTACTGTGTTTCCAGCTCAATAGTATTTTAGGAGGACAGAATAAACACCTTTGCCTTCTTATCCCTGTCAATCCATTACAAGGATGTTAACATGTTCAACAAGGAAATTTCACACTCTCAGGCTCCCAGTATTCACTAGTACTCTGAAATATGGCATGACATTTTTATTTCAGAGAAACTTACACCAGTCTAGTCATGTATTATCCAAGAATGACTTTTTCTGTCTGTATTAGGAAATACAAAGGATTCTTATATGACTCTATGAGACACCTATTAAAAACAAAGTTGTGGTAATACCTGTTCTCAGTGACTGGTCTAATACCTGATGATTCAGGTATTGGGCTCTCTTGCCAAATTTAGACACCTGCAGTAACTGCATTCCTGGATGTTCTGCATGTTGAAATAAAACTGAAAAGCCCCAGAGAGAATTTATGATTGAGCTCCTCTGGACTCTAGGTGTCACTGTCATTCCACAAACAGTGAGTACAGGTCTGTATTTTAATTCCTCCTCCACCTTGCTTTGTTCTCTTAGAGCAGGTTTTATGTTATTCACATAGACAGCTTCCACCATTACCATCCCATTATACTGCATGTAATCACCCAAACAGCTCATTTTAATTAAAATAATTTCTCTATTTCTATCTATGGATGTATCACTGGATCAAACACCTTACCTGCCCCAACACTATTCCATTTGTTCTCCCTCTACAAAATTAAAAAGTTTCACAACATGGGTCCAAGCTGGTTTTAATGAGCTGCTACAAGAAGTTACTTGAGCTGTGGAATGCTCTTCTCTTTGAATGTACCAAGTATAATTTTGTTATATATAAAACATATGTACATATCTATTTTTAAAACGCATCATCATGTAGAACAGCTGAATGAAAATAAAGAAATTCTAAAATGTTTTTTGCATCATGAAGACATTCTGGCAGTTAATTGTCTGGTTTTTTAGCCCACAGTTTAAGTGATCTTTAGAGGGAAATATGTAAATTTTGTGTGTGCTAACTTGCACTGTTAACAGTTTATATAGGTCCACATCCATAATAGTGGCAAACAGACAAACTGAGCATGTTTTTAAGTTTCAAACATTTTAAGGGAGCAAACCTGCCTTCAGCAAAGTGATTCATCTGCCAAGTCACCATCACAAATAAAATTATGACATTGGTTTACAATCATCTTACAATCGCATTTCAACTTCCAGCAAGTAGGAATGACTGTTCATCACAGAACAGGTTTATTGTCTCCTGGGATTTATAAATTTAATTCTCTATTCTCCTCCCAGCATATGGTAGGAGATTAATGATGAAGGATATAAGCAGGCTTAGAATAGTTTGTTCTTTAACTTATCCCCCCTGTTAAGCCAGGGAGTTGTACATGGTCTATTACGGACTACCCAAAAAAAATGCAGGAAAGGAGATGTGAGGGCAATAGTGATTGCCAAACACAATGGCACAGAATTTTTAAGAAACACAAAAAAAGCATTTCTCATTTTTTCGTTCTAGTATGCCAGTGAAAGACTAGAAAGACACTGCTAATATTTGGAATTTTAAAGGATTTCTACAAGGGGAAGCCATATTGTTCCACATTATAGGAACAATAAGTTGTAACCAAATATGTTTGCAATACTTAACAGATGCCCAAGTCAAACACCAAATCTAATTTAAGGCATTACTTTTCAAAATAATTACAAAATTACAAGCTCAAATACTGTATTTTAAGTAATTCTTCATCTAATGGCATTATTTCTTATACTTATTTTTTTCCTTTCTCCCATCAAAATACCACCATGTAAAAAGAGAAAACCAGATTCATACATTTGATGCATTTGTGATTGCCAGAACATGATTAGCTCTGCATTTTCTGGGCCTTTCTACAGACAAGTCTTAACACTCAAGGAGAACCAGAACAATGACTGATGAACATCAGCCTCCTGGAATTCAAACCACCTTCAGGGTGCTTTAACCTGAATCCACAATCACAGGCATGTAAAAATGTTTCTAGTCTCTTTAGAAGTTTAGTCATAAAGATGGATTAATCTAAAAATCTCTCCTATATTTCCTTAAAATCCAAGTTTGGCACTGAATTTTATTTTTTTATTCCTTTTACTAGTACAGTGTAAATTAATACAATATTAATAGTGGTTGATACTTTGTATTCATAGGGGTCTATATTTTACTTTGAGACCTCATGCTGGAAAGTGAAAGTTATCTTCCAATGAATTTTTGGGTGGGATTCATTTGGAACACTTGAAACATCTTGACTTGAACAGCTGTATTCAGTGTTAAGACAACTGGTCACTAGCAACAGCTCGGGTCACCTCCAGGTAAAAGGCCTTAATCAGGGACCAGTTTTCCCAAGTTGCTCCAACATAGCTGAAATGTGGTAACTTGCAAAACAGGATCTGTGACTTCAATATTTGAGCTTTTTGTTGGTGCCAACAATGTATTCTGTGGAGTTAACAAAACAGCTTACATCATGTGGCCTATTTACCTATGATTTCATACTTCTGAACATGTCCTCTACCAGTTATTTGTAAAAACTCAAATACAAACATGTCATTTATTAAACATTTCATTAGATCCTACACTAGTTTACCTGCCTAAACAGCTGTTAATGTGTGCACTTACCATTTTCTACATAGGGGTGAAATGGCAGAACCAGTGCTAGGATGACTCTGCCTCTGGTTGGCTCCAGTACACTTCTAATATCTTTTAATACAGTCAGTGGTTGATCACAGCGATCCAGCAAATTCAAACAGCTGATAACATCGTACTGAAATCCTGTGTTTTGCCATTCATTTACACCAAGCACCCTGTGAAAAAAAGAGATACAGTCTTTTAAATAAAAACAAGCTGATTTCAGATAGAACTACTGAAGACAAAAATTCCCTGTGGATGTGTTGGTAGTACAGGTAAGGTCAACCATTTAGAGAAGAGACAGACACAATCCCTTCTGGTCTTTTGGAAAGAAAACTAAATCAATGATCAGCATGGCTACATGTCCAGCCCTATGAACCTTGATAAACATCAGGTAATAAAGGAGACAAAAACCAACACTGGTAAGAGGAATCATCACATGTGTTTGTTTTTCTGGTTTTGTACAGGCTAACCTTTTCCGTACAAGCAAACAATAAAGGAATTGACTGAAAATACTGAACATTCATTAAACTACATTACTTTGCTGTAATGTCTGATATAAAGGATGTAGGAGTTATTCAGTAAATACCTGTATTTCTTCTTCTGAAGCTGCCATATCATAGTTTCAGACAATTCAGTGGCATAGATTTCTTCAAAGTGAGGACTCATAACTTTAGTGACTTCTCCATCTCCAGCCCCTAAATCGAGAAGTCTGTGGGATTTCCATTCAGGATTTATTTTAAGCAGTCTTTGAAATTGTTCTGGGGAAAACACAAACATTGAGCCCCTTCCCAGCAGCCTAAAATGTAAAAACAAGAAATGACCAATTTTGTACAAACTTGAACAGGACAGGCAGTGAAGAAATTTAGAACGTGTTTTGGCAGGAACCAGTTGCATATAATAGTAGACAAGGTCACTGCTCAGATAAATTTTAAATCCAGCTCAACTTGCCTTGCACTTGGTAAGAGATCAAACATAGAGCCACATGCAGTTACAGTGGTTAAGACTCCAGAAGGAATTTGATTGGGTAAGGGAGAGCTCATGAGGTGCAGCTGAAGAAAATGACTGCATTAAAAAAATAAAAAAAAAAAAAAAAGTGGAAGAGAAAGAGTAGGAAAGATAAAGACTGAACCTTATTTGTCACATCTGCAGATTTGAATCTCTTCCACCTACCTTAAAAAAAAAAAAAACCAAGATGAAATAACAGAGGAAATAAAATGGTTGCAGACACAGAAGTATGCACAATGAATGAGGAATAGGATGTGGAACGAGGAGGGAAGACAGGGAACAGATTTAAAGAAAGCATGGGGGTAACGCTGCTGGAGGGGCAAAAGAGATTTTTTTTAGTTCTGTGTTACAATGGCTTTTGCTGCTATCTGCTGATCCTGCATTCAACATGAAAAGCTGTGGAATAGATAATAGACAACTCATTAAGGAATTGGGTAGAGGTGACAGTTGGATTCCTTATGGATCAAGTCAATGCCATACCCACCCATAACTGTTTGAAAACTACACAGTGACACGTTTCAGCTGTCATAGAATAATTCAATGATGAAACAGAAGAACAGGCAGAGGAAGAAGAACTGGTCAGTAACAGACTGCAGGTAGATAAATACTATTCTTTAAACTCCTGTTGATAGCATGTTAAACTTAAAGACAATGAACAGGAAAAAAAACAAAACAGGAAAAAAGGTAAACAGAGATAAAAAGACTCAAAGAATAAAAAATGTGAAAAGGAGCTGACCTAGGAAAGACTGACTACTAAAACCCAAAGAATCAAAAAGGACAGAGCATAGAAAGTCATAGAGAAGGAACTAAGCAGGATATCAAATGTATAAAAATAAACAGACTACATCCAATTTAAGTAGAGCCCCCTTGCAGCAGACATGTGTCAGTCCACATTGTATAATTGGCTCATAGCTATTATTCCTAACAGTATTATGAGGTGTTATTCAAAGCCCTGAAGAGCCTTTGAAAAAAAATGGAAGAGAAAGGAAGAAGAGACCAAAGGAACCTTTATATAAAGCTACACATAACTAAGAACACCACAGGGAAGCTCATAAAGTCATCTGGGTAGAAAATAAGGAAAAGGACTATTTTTCTAGCCCCAGTAGACAGCTCCTATCTTGTATCAGACTGTGGGAGAAGTACGTAGCAGCTGCAGAGGTGGGGATACTGGAGAAATTGGCTAAATGTAACAAAATGCATTTTTCATAAGGTCAAAGCTGAAAAGCTGTTAAAAGTGTCCACATTGGGTAAGGTGAGCAAAAAAAAGCACTTCCTTGTTTGAAAAAAATACTAAAGCACCCATGAACAGCCAAACTCTCCTAGAATAAGATAAGAAGAATGCTGTTTTATCAACTTATGTTTTCCTGCTTTGCTGATGGTTCATCAGTCAAACATACTCCATAAGAAGTTATCTGTTCCAGTGCAGTTTACACACAAATTGAGGTGGAATCGTTTTACAGAATAAGAGAAAGGACAAAATTCCATATTAGTGTTGCCAGATACAACACTTGGCCAGCTTTGCACTGTTTAGAAATGTGTCAGAATTTGCCAAGGGCAGGCAAACACTCGGAAGAGTTTTAGGTACAATACAGAACTGTCTGGATACAGCCACCAACCCAAACAATCACAACAGTAACTGATAAAAATGTGGCAGTAGGGAAAGGGCAAGGTGGGACAGGGAAAGAAAGCTGAGGGAAGAGACACAAAGAGACACTCTCTTAGAAGAAAATTAATACAAATAACTGTCATAAAATTCAATTAGAATCCTCTGACTGTCTTTTATTAATTGCAATTACCTCCTCTGTCCCTCCATAGTGGAAATGGTGTTCACCAGTTAAGAGGGCTGGGCATGATGAACACAGGAGGGCATTTCACATCTGACAGAGCAGCAAAGGGAAATTACACATTTTGAAAAGCTGGCAGATCAAGGGGTAGTGCTGAACACTTGAAAACTCTAAATACAAACTGTATTTAGCTTACCCAAGATTGACTTTTCACTTACCCATTGATAGATGTTCTAGACATAAAAAGGCTAAAAATAGAGGACACAAAAGAGTGATAGAGCTGGATAAACAGCCAGCCTGACTTCTCAATGCTGTTGTTTAAGAAGATCTGTGTTCCTTGGTCAAGGTAACTCTGGACAAAAATAGGTTGAAGGGATTCAGACAACTGTTCAGTGTTGCAGACATACCACTAGAGAAAGAGATAAAGGATCATTTAAAAAGTTCAGCAATGTAAACCCAGAAGTAGTCAAAATTAATAGATATAAATTTACGACCAATTTCCATAAATATGAAAATTTAGCTTTTCCTACAGTCCTTCCAACAAACTTCAGGGTTAAATTAACCAAATTAATTAGAATTGTACCAAAATGAGAACTGATTACTTGCTAAGAAATAATGCTTTTATTTTTTGTCTTAATTATTACCCTGTACTTGGAAGATATTTGTAAGGTTAATTCCCTAGAAAGCCAACATAAGTCCTCTATGCAAAAATTATATTTAAAAAATGTAAATTTCTTTCTAATGAAGAATATCAGTTATTTTTCACTCTCCTACACTTATACAGAGTTAGTGTCAGTCCCTTCTCATAAAATGCCATTGTGTCTGTTTTCTACCATTAAGAACTCTCTACAGCCAACACCCTCTTATCTCCCCCTTAAATCTTGCAATAATGTTCCTTAATCTGACTGCATGTGCTCATTGTGCAGATGGGGAGCTTTAAGTATCCTGAAGTGAGATGTGAAGTTTTAGCAGAACCTTGCAGGAGGATAGAAACTGTCAGCTGGGGTAACTCCCCAAAGATTTAACACACTTGTGCTCAGATCCTGATGCCATCACATTTGTTTTTCCTGTTGGGAGAGGAACTCAAGGCAGGTTTACACAGCATTCAGCACAGTGGAACTTTCAGTCATCACTGGAATGGACAGGACTCTCACTACAGTGTGTGCAGCTTCCCAGCAGCAGCGCCAGCAAGCAGAGGGGAGCACACAGTGCACCAGGGCCCTTATGCCAGATTCAAGAGCATCAAACACTGACCCAAAGCAGCAAGGGAAGACCCTTCAGTTGAGCAGCAAATGTGCCTGCTTAGGTTTGAAAACCACCTGCACAATGGGTGCATTTCTGGAAGAATCAGGCTATAGACTGTACTTTCAAATACACTTGTGGGTAGAACAAGTGAGCGATCCTTTCTTCTGAAACACAGATTCTGAGCCTGGCACAGGGATCCCCAAGACTGCTGATTCACCAGTTTAGGTCTCTTCTCACTGCAGCTCAGCCCTTGTTAAATAAATCAGCATAGACCATGATTCCAAAAGGAATCCTTAGTGGATCCTGAAAAACCACTAAAGCAGCAGCTTGTGTACCTTGTCCATTCATTCAGAAGCCAATTCCAAGAGCGTGACAGAAGCAAATGAACCCAAGGAGCTGAGGAGCAGGCTGGGATGTGTCAGGTTCACCCACAAGGCTGTGCCTCACTCCACTGAACAGGTTTGGAGTGGTTCAGATGATTTGCCTTTTGCAATGTCTCGCCAGTTTCAATCCAGTAGAAAACATTTTCAAAGCCTTGGGAAACAGAGGCTTTGTTCCATAAGCAGCATGACTACACCTGAGCTCACACACCTTGGGGTTCTGCACTGAACTTTCACCTGCAGTACCACTGAAAAACAACAGTTCTACAATTCTTGTCTTTAAAACTTCTAGATATTGATGTAACTACTGACAGAAGGATGATGGTGACAACTAACAGAAGCTTGTTTCCAAAAATTAGGTGTTGTTGACAGATCTCCAACTTATTATTCTCAGTATGGTTTAGTGGGTATGGTGGTATTTGGTCCAAGGTTGGACTTGATCTTGGAGCTCTTTTTCAGCCTTAATGATTCAATGATTCTATGATCTCTCATGGTTAATCTTGCCTATAAGGTTATTGACAACTACCCATATAACACTGGTGAATAGCAGAGATTCTAACACATTATAAGAGAAAAAAAAACCAAACAAACAAACACCAACCAAAAAAACCCCAATCTAAATTTCAATTAAAAAAAAAAAATTGTGAAAAACAGCTTAATTCCAAAACTACTTCCTCGGAACAGAAACTGCTTTTATTTTCCTCCATGTACACAACATATGAAAGGCCACTAGTTACATGGCAGTGTCAATCTCCTATATATTTTCAGACTGTTGTGCTAAGACCTTTGTTATAACAAAAATCATAAACATTGCAACTCTTGCTAATATTAGTAAAAGAATGAAAAACCTCTTTTAGATAATTTAAATAAAACTAGTTAAGTCACTAAAACTGCAAAGTCAAAGTACCAGGAGTCTGAACATGCAACCCTTGCTTACCCCACAAACTCAATAACCATAAATCTTTCTAAATGTACTAAATAATCAATACCTACATTTAAAATCTAGATCAAATAAAATAGAGATGGAGATTATCCACTGCAGACCATCTACCTGTGAATGACACAGGCACCTCCAAAACACATTCCCCTGACTTTTCATTCTACTACAGCTTTTAATAACACAATAGACTTTCAGATTTTCTTTGTTCACCAGGAGGAAGTTCCTCCTGTACACCTGAATTCTGCTTCTCTTTCTACCTGTGATCTGAATGATCCCAACAGCAGACCACAAGCATTAAATTCCAGGGATACATCCACCCATCAAGATTCTGGATGCCAGCACCCACCCAGAGCACTAAGAAGGCTGCAGTAATGGATCAGCAGGAAGAATTATGGTCTTCCTTTGTACAGCAGTCCTCGAGTGTTTATACTACATCTTCTTCGTTAGCTTGGTTCGGCATATTTAACCCAGATTAAGCTGCCAGCTTCCTTCTGCACTAAGAATTCTTTATTAGCTCTTCTAACTCCTGTCAGATTTCCAGCATGCGCATTTCGTCAAAACATAGTGCGGATCTGAACACATTCCAAATGAAATCTGTAACATAACCATTGCATTGCAAGGGCATGGCCCCTAACTTCTCCACAAGGTAGCGACCCATGTGTCCACACTGCCCAAACATAGCACCAACCTTTTATCGCAGTCGGATCACATTGCAACAACTCAGTCTTAGTCTCCTGCCACCTCCTACTGCTCCAAGGCCTCTGTGGGAGTCTCAGTTTCTCACTTTTTTTTGTTTTCCTCTCCACGCACCGGTACTAATTACAAACATCTCTGTGATTACAAACCCACCCCCGTCACCACCACCTGCAAACTTCACTGGTGCACTCTCACAGGGCTCACCGGACACACGGGGGGTGTGCATTGAAAAAGCCGGGGTGCACATCCACAGCCCGGGGTGCACACCCAGAGCCCGGGGTGCACCTCTGCCGGGNCGCCGCCCTATCAGCCCCACGCGGGACTGAGGGCCGTGGGGCGAACAATTGCTGGTAAAGAGCGGGGCCTCTCCTTCTCATCAGATTTGATGGCTGAGTCCAGCCCCTTCATCTCCTGGTGAGGGTGGCACTGAGATCCTGGCTTTTACCTGGAACCTCCTCTGATCAAGCACTGATCACATCTAACCTTGCTTATCTTGGGAAATCAAAGTAACAACAGAATATTGCCAGAGGATTTTTGTGTACGGTTCATTTTCACTGATGTTTTAACTCCCTTGAGGAAAGTTTTTGACTTGGGAGCTTTAGACAATTTTCCACTGAAGATTGTTTTTTTGTGGTTTTTGTTGTTGGTGGTTTGGTTTTGTTTGTTTGGTTTGGTTTTGGGGTTTTTTATTTTTTTGTGTTTTTTTTTGGGGGGGGGTTCTTTGTTTTTGTTTTGTTTGTTTATTTGTTTTTTCTCTCCAATAGATGGGCTAGAATGCCTTTTTGGTCTATTTTTATTTGGTTTGGGATTAAGACTCTCCTTTCCATGCCTGTTCTTATTTGTAAAGACAGACTAGTTTATTTTTCTCCCTCCAGGAATAAAACAACTTTATAATCAAAATCCAAAATGACAAAAGATAAATTTGCTACTTTTAAAAGAGACATCTGCTCACAATACTACAAGTCAGTAAATAAAATTGCTTTGGGTTACTTACATGTTCACAGGGAAACATATCTCGGTTTTATCACATAAAAAATACAGATAATTGATTGCATATAAGAAATTTGCTAGCTTTTGTCTTTGCACTGTTAGCGTACAACCTAGGTGTGTTTTAATGGAATCTTTCAAAATTCCTACCCAGTGTTATATTTGTCATTAATATTCTGATGCAGTAGTTGTGTATTCAGCATATTTTTCTCTTGACAAGCCATAAAAAACTCACTATTCATGCATATTTAGGTAATAATTTTGATGTATAGTCATTTGCAGATAAGCCAGTGGAGTTGTAACAATTGCTGGACAATCTCAGCAAACCATTTGTGGTGTAAGTAACCTTTTCATTCAATTTGTGTGCTGGGAAAGGATTCCCAGAAATAATGCAATAACTTTTTTTTTCTGCTCCACTATTTGGAGAGCATTTTTCTTTGTCTTGATGGGAAATTTCTACAATCAGTTGAATCCCTGGAGCCAAAATGGTCCCAAATACACCCACAAGGTTTAAAACACAGCCCTTGTTGCTTTGTGGTGACCCAAGGAGCCTGGCTTTTGGAGTAGGCTCAGTGGCAGGGCTGGCTTCGTTTAGTCTGTGATGTAAATCCTCAATTTTCCCAATAAAATGCAGTGCTAAAACAACTTTCCCTTCTATTATTTAAACATTAGCAAGAAAGGGATTACCAGAAAGAGGTCTTTAAGGTAAACACGGATATCTGAAATCCTCTCCCCTAAAGGTAACCCAGGAAACCCAGTTGTGGGTCTGTCCTGACCTTCAGGACAACTCCTCCCAGTCTCACTTGTATGTTCCTTTACCAAACCAGCTGGATTTTTTTTGCCTGCATATGCTACTGAGCCTTTTCCCCCAGTTGGCTTAATTATGGCAAGGAAGTGCCTGGAAGTACTTGTGGAGATGTGGCTTATCTGAAGTGTTCCTTCCCCTTCCTGCTTGTCTTTCCTGACAGCAGCCATTAGGCTGTAGAACTGTATTCAAATGTAAACATTCCTACCAGCCATGTCAACACAGTACATTCATGGATTACTGAGTGGCTCCAAAATGAGGGCAGCAGGAAACTGGGAAAGTCATTTTGTACAAGACCAGAAGAAGGTGGGCTTGTAAGCTCCACAAAACATCATTTTTCCACACTTAAAATTAAATATGCTTTGTTGTCATTTATTCGATATTTTCACTCTATCACCATATATTATATTACTACTATATTAGACTAATATTCTTTAGTGTCTATTGAGCAATATCCTTTTAAGTCTAGCAGACATTTCTGCCTATTGATTTTCAATAAATAAAATTCATTCAGTGTATTAAGTCCCATATTCTCAGAATTTATAGAGAAACTGTAAGAATGGATTCAAGCATCACATTTCTCCTCCTCTGAGCTTACAACAGCATTTCATATTTTATACTACACACACACTTATAGCCTCTTTATCAGTTATGAGACTATTTTAGACACTCTTAAATTATCAAGATTAAATTGAGGCATTTTTCCAGCAGTGGGAGTTCAAGCTCAGATAGTGTTGGCTAATAAGGAGAGAAAGCAGGGAAACCAGCTGTTGCAAGACACTGAACTTTTGCCTTTGATCATCCTTTACTTGATTCACAGCCAAAACCAATCATGTAGGTTTAGCAGAAGATAACAAAGTTTAGTGGGTGACAGAGAAATGGAGAATAAGCAATGTCAGTCACAGCACAGTGCCAACCTTCTATTCCCGTAGGAAGACCACCACCCAAATTTAAAGCACTCTTTCAGTCCTCTTTGGGATTGACTATTGGTGCTCTGAAAGACATTTCTGCTGCCCTTATAGCAAGGAAAATAGGACAGACAAATGGGAGAATAGTGCATAATAATTTTTGAAAATTATCAATATTTTACATATTAAATAATTTGAATTATATTTCTCAGGTTTTTTTTTCTAAATCAGTTTATTCTACAGTTAATGTCTCCTGTCTTCAGGCTATCTTGCTTAGAAATCTTTGATTATTTACTTTTCCTGTAGGAACTCTAGAGATGTAGCAGATTGTAGAGCCTATTTAAATAGTGCATTGAGTTGTATCACTCCTTACTCCTTTCTTATTTCAGTAAATTAATGGTAATTTTACCAGACATTTTCCAGAAAAAATAATTCTGATGATTTTGAAGATTTCTTGATGTAATTTTGCCTCTTAAAACCACTTATTAGATTTCCTGTTGTATAGCACAATACTGTTCCAGCTGTACACTATATTCTAATAACTTAATATTAGAAATAACTAATAGAGTCACCTAACCCTATTTGTGGTACAATAACATTATTTTATTGTATATGTTAAAATATATATTCTATGAGGACAGGATGAACATGGGAAATTTAGGAAATACAGAAATAGTAAAGAAAAAAAAGACTATTTCACTTTATTACGTTATTATGTTATTACCATTTTAAAGGAACTGTCAGGGAGAAGACTGTTTCATATAATGAATCAAAGATTATATTAACTTAAATTCCTTCAACTTCTGCTCCTGTCTTTCAGACACAAAATAAATACATATAATGCAGGAAATCTTTTCAAATTCAAAACCTAAACACACAGGCTGTATCTGCTCTGGTATCTGTATTTACCTATCCACAGAGTATTTACACAAGTGATGCTGTATGTGCACATAATGCTGTCAGCATGCACAGTGCAAATGGGCAACAGTGTCTCTGACAAGACAGAGAAAAAACAGATAAGGTAACTTCAAACTTCACCACACTTCTGGCTTCTTACATCTTAACATAAATCTTCACATTCCTATCAAAGGATTCATTTAGATTT